AATAATTTATATGAAATATATAATAACAATATAATAAACAACAAAATAATCAACACACTAAAATAGTAAGAGATTTAATTATAATATATACTTATGATCAAATAGACGCACGTTTAAACTGTTATATGATAAATAGATTGTTATGACAAATGATGCTTTGACTTACAATTTTTACATTTGATATATTACCTTTTTATATTTTATTCTCTTTTCTAAAAAAATACAAAAATTCACTTTTATAATTATTTTACTGTGTTAAACGAACGTAAAAGTATCTCACACAACCATTACTTGATTGTTATAAGATGAAAAGAAACTTAAGAAATCTTTAATAAATCATGCTATTAATATATTTACTTATGGAAAAAAATATAATAATAAAAAAATTATCAGTCCCATATAGCATGATTACAAATTATTTTTCTGATTGTACATGTATACCATACCTACCTATATGTATTAACACTCTTAATGCTTTTGAGATATTTTAGAACCCTACATTCCCATTCTAACCTCATTAAGGGCACAAAACTTGACGAAGGTCCTTGGAAATAAAGGGTGGTGTAAAGGGTAACAGTGTCATGTGGGAGCTTATAAAAAGTGTGGAGGAGAAGCAACCCAATAGGAACCCTAGACATGGAAACCCTGCGATGGTGCGAAACATCCATGATGTAAACGAGGTAGTGATATCAGAGGTGGGGCCCTATGTGCATTTGAGAAGCCGCATCCAACACCATTCGTTGCTTTGCCACGTCAGCCACAAGTGATGATTCATCACTAGGTCCACTTCTTTCGATCACAACCCCACATCCAAAGGTCAACTTCATTTTCTTATTTATTTATTTATTTATTTTCAAGATTGATTATGGGTACATGCAAGTTTCTTAGTTATCTGGTGGTATTTTATGTGTGAGTGCAAATAATACCCCGCTCACACAAACCCAATTAATATAATAACCTTTTCCACATTAATACCACACCGCTCCAAGCTTTCTTTTCTTCCTATATATAATATAATATATATATTTTTCCATATTCACTTTTGTTCTTAAGTTTGCACCATTTTAATAATATTTTCCTTGCTATAAGACAAAGTATTAATATTTTTTGTTGAAGAAAACACCCACAGAATAATTAGGTTCTGAGTAATAAGTTTGTATTGCTATTATGAATGGCACTTCCGCTAAAATTGCACGTGTTGTTGCACTAAAGTGTGTGTGAAGTGTGGAAGATCAATTTCTCAATTCCCCAACAAAAAAAACCGAGACGGACCACGTCTTGGGCCCACTTCCTGTAGTGGGCTCCCCACAACTCAGCCCAACTTGCAATGCTAATCATATAGGCTAGCTCACGCCGGACCACGAGCCGCTACGTACACTCAGCCATCAAATTCTTGGGTTGGGTCCCGCATTCCCATCACACTGCTCACTCACTGGCTCGGCTTCATCGGCTTTACATACCAACTCGGCTGGCTTAGCGGTTTGTAAAAAGGTTCACGGTGGATGCTTACTTAACAAAAGTGTTGCTCTACTCTTCTGCTACTAGAAATAAGTTTTCACAATTACAATTCAAGGACCTCACAATATTTGCAAAATGGGTACCAACAAGTAACCATATTTTTGAATGTGCATAGTTTGTAATAACTGTTTAATAATCTATTAAGTTTTATAATGTACTTTCCCTCTTACTAACTTGTCACATCGACCATTACTGCAACTAGCAACTTATAATGTACCTTATAAAAGAATGTTATACATTTGATTCTCCATGCACCCTCGTAGATACTTTTATGTTTGTTTATCCAACTATATATCTAAATCTGTTTACTTCTCTGGTGTCTAACATCACAAACACTGACCCATATTCTAATGAATTTCACCGAAATGATTATTACACACATGCTCAAAAAACTTATTCTTATGTACAAATAGAATAAAAGTTATTACACGTGCAAGCCATTAATTTCATAATTAAAATGATTTTATGGTTTAAAACGAGAAAGAAAAATAAAAAGTGGATGTTAACATCTAGTGTCTAGATGCAACATACATAGCCAGCCGTAGATGAAGCATGTGAAGTCTGAGAGAACGGGACGGGGTGATCGAATTCCGTAATGAGTTGAGCAGCTGTGACAGTGAGACGTGCAAATATAGATATATAACATCAATTATGACTCTCGATAGTGTGATGGAAACGCATCGGTCGCAACGAAATTAGTTTCCATCTAATTGTAATACATGAAATCTGCCATATACCACCAATATGGGATTGATTATACACTAATACCATTTTTTAAAAAGATCAAAAAACATCATTGTGTCCTAACTGCTGTTTTGCTAAATCAACAGTATATATTAATGTAGTTGAATAGAAATTCCATTGCTTCAAACAATTAATTTATTCTTTTCTTTTGTCTGGTTCAAGACAAATGAAATAATTATCCCTTTAAGGACATTAGCTTTTCCACATTTAGTCTGATATAATTATTACAAGAACAACTTTGACATTAACACAGGTAAATAAATGAATGAATACACATGTTGTAACTACTGGTATATATGGTTGATATCAGAATATCATTAACCTTATTGTCAGGGAAACAACACCATCAACAGTAAGAAAGGGACAAGATGGAGAAGAATGTTGAGAAGAATTGGCATATATGAGAAGCAAATGTTTGGAAGAACATGGAGATCCAGTGTCACTTTGAATAGAGACCATGATGAGAATTTAATTACAGTTGAGAGTCGAAGGTGGTGGAAATGGTAGGGACTAAGAATGAAGGAGGGGGCCACCATGCCTCATTTGTGTGTGTGAGAGGTGTGCATGCCTTTTTCCCAAAAGCCAGAAGGCTTGGCTGTTCCATTACGTCACCACCAAATTTGTTTACTCTTTTTAGTGCCTTGTGGAAACCCTTTAAGATTCGTCATTCGTCTAAGCTGCTACTTCCTCTCTGCCTTCACCGTTTCACACTTTCCTCTCTGCAATCTTTACTCTAACATTTTATGCAAACCTTCCTCTTAGATACATAGAAAGAGACCCTTTTGCCGACTGAAACCAAAGCTGTTCACTTTGTGTTGGTTGCCTTCGGTCTCTTTCTGTTTCAGGTTGAGGTGGCACTCCCAACCATTTCCTTGCACCTCTTCCATTTTTTTCCGCCACCTTTTCTCCCAAACCTTTCCCACCAATTCAGCCTAACCGACAGTGAGATCTTGTTCGTCTTATATATCTTGTATTGTTTGCCAGAAACCAAACAGAAGCATGTTTAGGGTTTTATTTTTCTGTGTTACTGTTTTCCTTCTTATTTAAATTACTTTTCCAGAAACAAAAGAGAACTCTTCCTGGCGTTGATCTTCAGACGTTGCCGCTTTCTGTTCTTCTTCTCGTATGCCTTTTTCCTCGGGATCCGATCCCACAAGTAAAAAACACAGGTTGTTTGTTTCTTGTGAGAGAACAAAAAGCTAACAGAAAAAGTCGACGGGTTCTGTTCCCGAGGACTTGTGTTTGTTACTATTTCAACCTTTTTCAGTGCTTTTATTGCGTTGAAAATCTTTGTCTGATTTAGGAGCTTCCTCTATATATTTTGGAGTTAAAGTTGAGACTTATCACCACAGCACCATTTTCATCTCGGTGCACACAAACACCAACTCGTTTTGGAGGAAGATTTGTGACAGAACCACCGTGCTCAGATCTGTGAAGACTAGCTTGATCTGTGAGCTTTCTTACACTTTCTGTCTAAATTCTTTTTTAATTTTCTTTGCTTTGTCTTGAAGCTAAACCCCCTGCACTTTGTGATAAGATATAGAAGTCGCATGGAGACTTCGACATAACCCAAAAAGAGAAGTGTAGAGTGTTCTTACTTTACTGATCTTAAACTCAACATAATGTGAGCAAATTCAAAGGGGTTTGTTTTGATTCGTTTGATTTGCACCTCGTTTTCTCCAACCTCGAAGGAGGCTATTTTGTTTCCTATACATGATCTTGTTTTAGTTTAAGCATATATACTGTTAGACATTATAAGAAGGTTCATGAACTTTATCCCTTTATAAGCATGGGTCATATATTAGTGGCAATCACAATGAGTGACAATCACTTGTATATGTTCATCTAGGATTAGTAAGTCTTGTGCATGTCTCCTATCGCATGTGTGTTGACTATGTGAGTGTTTCGCACGCATAATCATCATGGTCTTGCCTTTTCTCCATATATTATATATAGAAATTCTATTCTTCTTTTCCAATATATTCGATATGTGATCTAAACTTTAATGCTTTCAACGCACTGTATTGTGTATATGCACATTGGGTTGAGATGTACGGTTAAGTATATGATTTATTCTTTTCCCACCTTTTCTTGCCACAACAGAAAGACTGGAAGAGAGAAGGAAAAAAGGGAGATAATTTAGGGAACTTGACAGTGAAATATAGAAAGAAAAACGAGTTTTAGATTAATGGACTGCGAAAATCTGGGTCACTAAAAGTAATTAAATTTGGGATTAGTGATAAACTTGTTGATTATTATTTAGTTTACTGACTGAAGTAGATTACTGCGTAGCTAATTTATGTGTAAAAGTTTGTTATTTTTCGTACGAGAACCTCATTCCCTAATTTTTCATAAGTTACTATTATATGTTAAAACTAATGAGTGGAAAACCACTTTTAACTCACTCTAATCATGGTTACTGTCAGTAAGTTCGGGGAAAACATTATTAAACCAGAAAGAAAGAAAAGGATCTGAGCAATGCCACACTATTTTTTTTTTTTAATTATTCACGAAGGGTGAAAAATTCAATATAATGATCAACTTCGCCTTGTCAAAGTGCAAGAGAACAGTGTACTGGTATGACAAAAATTCATGTTGCTTGCATATGCATGTAATGTGACATAAGTTTTGGTTGTATGTATATAATTTAACTTGTTAAAGAATATGATAGAAGGCCTAATCTACTTCATCATATTTGCTATCATACTTACTGGATTCAATTTAATTTGCAGGAATCAGCATAGGAGAACATGGATAGTTTCACTCATGTTCCTCCCGGTTTTAGGTTCCATCCAACGGATGAAGAACTTGTTGATTACTACCTTAGGAAGAAAGTGGCTTCAAGGAGGATTGACCTGGATGTCATAAAAGATGTTGACCTCTACAAAATTGAGCCATGGGATCTTCAAGGTAGTACATAGCATCTAAATTCAAGAGGAGCAGTTTATTGGTGAAAGAAATACTGCTAATTGACTTCTTCATTTTCGTTTTAAACTTTAAAGAGATTTGCAGAATAGGAACGGAAGAGCAAAACGAATGGTACTTCTTTAGCCACAAAGACAAGAAGTATCCAACTGGAACTCGCACAAATAGAGCAACTGCAGCTGGGTTTTGGAAAGCGACAGGAAGAGACAAGGCAATCTATTCCAAACACGAACTGATAGGCATGAGGAAAACCTTAGTCTTTTATAAAGGTCGAGCACCAAATGGACAAAAGTCAGATTGGATAATGCATGAATATCGGCTTGAAACAGAAGAAAATGGCACTCCACAGGCAAGTTCAGTTATAATGAGCAAAATGAATTGGTGTTAAAAAATTCAGACACCATAAAATATAAATAACCTACTTATCTCAATTACAAGAATCACCATATAGAAAAATAAACAGCAACATTGAGTTCAATTTATAGTCATAGCGTGTTACAATAAATTACTGAAAATCTAAGGCTCTCACGAGATAGTTAAACGTTACTGGGAATTATTTATCCAACGATATAAAAGGAAAGAACACCATGCATGCATGCATATATGCATGTAGCATTTTGAGTATAATTCACCTTTGTTGATGAAACGCTTTTAGATTTGACAATGAGCTAGCCGAAACTTTCTTGTTGGTAATTTTTCTCAACACATCCTCTCGTAAACTAACGACTGTTTTGTCCTTTTTGTATGAATGAAGCAGGAAGAAGGTTGGGTTGTGTGTAGAGTATTCAAGAAGAGAGTAACAACAATGCGTAAAGTGAATGAGCACGACTCTCCCAGTTGGTATGATGAGCAAGTATCTTTCATTCAAGACATGGACTCACCGAAGCAGACCTCTCAATCTAATCTGGTCTACCAGCTTCCCTATCCTTGCAAGAAAGAGCTAGATGTGCCCTACCAGATGCCTCGTGACCACTTCCTTCCACTTCTGGAGAGCCCAAAACTGCTTCAATCTGCTTCAGCCATAACCCCTAATCCCATGGCACCATATCTTCTAGATCATGTCAACCACTCCACCACTCTGCTTCCCTCGTTACTCATACAAGAAGAACATGTTATCGGTCAGCAAATAAACTTACAGACAACCTACGGCAACAGCAACTGCAATGATCAAGCAGTGGATCAAGTAACTGATTGGCGAGTGCTTGACAAGTTCGTTGCTTCACAGCTCAGTCAAGATGGATCCAAAGAAAACGCCTACTCAAACACCTCAGCCAGTATCTTTCACGGAACTGACAGTGGCAATTGCAATGTACAGTTCAGACATTTCGACAAACATGAGATGGTGGTGCCTCAAGAAAATGCCTCAACATCAAACTCCAGCTGCCCAATTGCATTGTGGAAATAGCGACTGCTTCATAAATTGGTTTTGGGTACATACTAATTATAGGTACTTAGCTAAAAACATCTCTTGCAAGTACTGTTTAAGTGCCTGTACATAATAAACGTATAATGAGCAAAACTTTAACTATTGTGGAGCTTCTCGCTCCACTGCATCTATCTAGCTTCTAGCATATATTCAACTGAAAAGAAAGAAAACGAATGGGACGTGATATACTTAGTATAAAAAGCCATATCTATATTTCCCTGAAGATGGAAAGGTTTCAAAGGGTAAAAGTTGCATTGGTGGGTACGCATGCATGACGAGCTCTGCCATGTAAACCGAGGTCCAACGACCACATTCGCTGTTTTCATTGGAGTGACAGGGTGGTCCACATATATATATATATATACATATATATATATATATATATATATATATATATATATATATATATATATATATATATATATATATATATATATATATATATATATATATATATATATTTCTGTATGTTACAATTACAACAAAATAGTTATAGAATAAATTGTTCTTTTTTTCCTTTTTACTTTCTTTGTTAATTTGAGCATCCTTTTAACAGGCTATATTTTTACATTGAGGATGGCACATAAAAACTTTTTTTTTGCTAATTAAACATGAAATTATAAATGATTTAAAATGAATCAACCGGGAAAGTAAAAAATTTACATTTAAAGGGTTTATGAAAATTAAAGATTGCATGTGTAATGTTTTTAAACACCATCAAACATTAAAATATAATAATTTAAAAATGAATACACTACTGAGTATTATATTTATTAGATGTTAAGGGTGTGGAAAAATTAAAGAAATACAATGTAACTATATAAGTTTTGTATAATTTTTTTTATGAACATTATATCTTTCTCTAAGTAAATTTGGACATGGTTTTGTATCTTTGCAGGAGAGAACATATATATAATTCTCTTTTAATTTCTTCATGCTAAAAATTAGTGTACAAGTTTATAAATATAGTAAAAAGAGAGATCCGAATGTAAAATCTTAATTATCAATAGAAAAAAGAAATAATACAATTTACATAATCAACATAAGGTTATATATATACAACAAAACATATACCACAAATTTAATAAAAAGGAGAAACAAAATAACTAATTATATAATATTCATATATTTAATTTATTTTAATTCTAATATTAATTAAGTGATATATAGCCTTAGTCTTTTTATATGTTATGCTCTCTTTCCTTGGAAACAAAAGATTAAAAGTATATATAATGATTCATAACGGTCCATGAAGCTTACATACTAAGACATATATATTCTAAAAAGTTAATTAAAATGTATATATATATATATATATATATATATATATATATATATGGGGATCTTGATTTGGCTTGTGTGATAATATATATTTAATGATGAAGCAAGAAAAGAAAGTAGTACTTAACACAAAGACGACAATAGATGGTACCACATATTCTTTGCTCCTAAGTCTCGCAATATATACCCCGCATATGCATCCAAATCTATCTCAGGTTTAGAAGCCAAGCAAAAGTTACACCTATATATAGCCTAGCCTTCATATTCAAAAAACAACAACCTTTCTCTATAATTACTTCTTCGAAGTGCCAACAAATCATGCAAGAAAATTATTACAGCCATCATAGGCATCACAAGTAGTGTCATAATACGTAACTTCAACGCCTTCTAGTACACTCAAACTCATTTTTTAACCAAGGCCAATATCTATTTCATATGCCACTATATATATTGCTAATAATTGCAAACAAACTCCAACATAATAATATAGGGTTGAGTAAGGCTAATACGAATCATAGTGCAAAAGAAATAACTAGTTTGAGAATTGTCAACTTTAAAGCAACTTTGACCGTTTCAAAGAATTTTCAAAAGTACACTTTGTTTTGGAAATCAAATAAAACCAATTTGCATGTAAGTGTAGAGTTAAATTAGACACAAATCTTGTTATATCTAGAATAAGAAAGAAAGTTGCAAATCACCCACTTGTGAACTAAACATCACAATCATATATAACTTAGAAAAAAAAAAGAACTATAGAAGCTCTTCCCAACAAATTCAGAGTGTTTGAGATGAAAGAATAATACGATGCAAGAATGCAGTAACTGTGCTCTGGAACGAAACGAAAGTTTGAGAATTTTAAAACTTATATAAACAAGTATATATAGTAAGGTATGGAAACATGAGATTCCATAAAAAGAACGTAATTTTTGGGAGGAACTGAGAAATAATGGTGATGGGGTTATACCTACCAGAAGAAAAAATGGCCTAGGAGAGAAATGGAAGCAAAACATAATGAAGCTAGGTATAGCTGGAAAGAACGAAGAGAAAAAAAGTTGTATATTTAGAAGTTGATATATAGCAACCTAAGGGTTTAATATATACGGAAGAGAAGAAGAAGAAGCAGAAGGTGATAAGTGTTAGAGTTTATTGATTTTGAAGCAATTATGTTGGAAGACGACACACTCATGAAGGTGGAAGGAGATAAAGATATACAAAAATGGAGGCAGTGATTGAGTTGTGGATTCCAAGGTAGTAAAAGAAGCTGAAAGTGAGAGGTAATATTTTCTGACTTTGCTTTGGCGAGAGAAAGCATGTGCATGCGTTTAAAAATTAGGCAGAAGAAGAGCATGGCGTAGCAACAGCATAGGCAGCACAAGAGTGGGTGAATAATTAGAGTTTACAGTGTCACTTTTCTATATGTTATTTGTCATGGAAGGAACAATAAAACATCATTTTTTAGGAACATGTCCATGTGAATGCTGTTATGTTCTTCCATACAATACATACATAAATGTAATTTCTGTCCCACCATGATTTCCAACTATTAAGGAATGTCAAATTGCTGTCTCACTCACTTGTACTTTTTCAGCAGACAAACACAATACAGCATGTTGGAATTATTATAATTTTTTACTAATATAATAAATACTATAAGTATTATTTTAAGGTACCCTTCAATGGAAATTGATACTAAAGAAGGGTCATTTAAAATACATTCACTTAAAGGAAATTATTTCAGAGATTATTTTATTGAATGGTGTAAAAATAATTAAAATTTGCATATGTTTTATATTACTATTATTATTTTGTAATTTATTTTTGCATAAATATATGAACACATTAATCTTATCCATATATAGACATACTCGTATGATGTGTATTAATAAATTTGTCTAATAATTATATGAACACACTCATCTATTATGTGTTTATATTTATTTTAGCATATTGATCGTATGATAAATTTGTTCTACTATATGATCTAGTTAGTATATGTCGAAACTTTAACATTTTTTTGCTTTATCAATATGATAAGCTTGTATAGATTGATAATTAAGATCATTTGAATTTGTATTAGGTATTAATTCGTCTAATCAAGTGTCATGTATATCATTTTATGATTTTAATTTGTATCATCTAGTCTTGTATCATTTAATATAATTAATGTTAATTGAATCTAATAGGAGTTTATTTTTTATTTATATTATTTTTCTATTCATATTATTTATTATTTATATTTATTATAATTTATTATTATTTATTTCTATTCATTTTATTACTACTTATTATATTTATATATATTATTTATTCTTACTTATATTTATTATAATTTATTATTTTATATATTATATATTTTTTATAAAATATTTTACTATTATTTTATATTTATTGTTATGTATTATGCACTATTTTATTATCCGTATTTATTATAGATTCATTTTAAAATGCAACTTTTTAGACATGAAGCATTATTTATTTAGACTTCTCAATTTGAATTATTTATTTAAGACATGAATTCATCAATAAGTTTTAAAATCCATCATTAAAGGAGTGTAAATCACATTGATCCTATTTAATACCATTAATATAATTTTAAAATTGGTAGTTATTTTGTGCCTATATATATAAGCATGTTTGGCTTCCCTTGAAACACACATCATAAATTTAAGTGGTAGACAAAATTTTCATATATTAGAGATTTGAAAAGAAGTTATGACAAAGAATGAGATGAAAAATGTTGGTGTTGTTGTTCTGATAATGATTATGTTGTGTTTCTCAGAAACAACAGCACTTTCATGTCCTGATGTGGAATAAGTTGTCTTGAATCTATTCTTGCTTATCCATTATGTTTTGGGATTTGTATTGCAAAGTGTCCAAAAATGTCTAAAAAAGTTTTCCTGTGTATTACTCGTTGTGGGGTTAATAAGTCCATAAACATCAAGATTGGTATTCAAACTCTTACAACATTACTCTCATATTTTTCATATTTCAATTAATATGTTTTTTCATATTTCTAATGATTCATTTTGTATGTCAGATGGTAGCGGTGATGTGTATGAAGTGATGGATTATTGTCTAGAGAAGTGTTAAACCATTTATAATATATTTTTCTTATTTGAACATTCATGAATAAAGTGTTGATTGTAATGGTATTCATCTATGATGTAATAAGGTGAATAGGATTTCAAGATGGAAGGAATAAAATAAACTTAAGAATAAAGTTTTTTTTATTTAAAATTATTAAATCTTTTATATAAAATTATCTATTAAAATATCGTAATTAATTTAATTTAATATTTCTTTTAATTGACAATAAGATTAATTCGTTTAATCTTTGTTTATATATTACTGATTTTAAATAATTTTTTTTAGTTTTGAGAAAATCACGGAAACAATTGATATTAACATTATTCTATGACTTATATATATATTTGAAAAAGAATATATTATTTTTATATAATTAAAACGATTAATTAGTTTATCATTTTCTAAACTTAATTATAATTTTCTCTAGGATATATATTATTAAATAAATTAAATTAATCCATGTTTTGATATGAATGGGTCAATTACTGTCAATTTTTTAACAATCATACCTTAAACCTTTATTTATAGTTGGTGTTTCATCTATTTGCTAGTCTAATCATGACTCAGTTATACCTTAATCATTAGTTGATTGATTCATTGTTATCATTGATTAATTATTAATTTAACATGTATTATGCAATCAATTGGTCTGCTAATCGGACAGATCAGCCTATCAGTTGATCTCACTTATTATATGTACAATGCAGTAAAGATCTAATAAATTATCATGTTTTAAAGATTGTTCAAGGTTCAAACATTTTTCTTTTAAAAGTGTACATTGACTTTAATTTTTTAAACACTAAATCAAAAATAAAAAATATCTATAAATTTTTTAAATTGTTTGAATATGCTTTGAAGAATGTTGTGATCTTTTTATCTACAATATATACAAATATTATCATTTCTAAATTATTCTTGAAGATATTTTATAATTTCATTATCAATACTTTTATCAAATTGTTTCTTTTTACTATTGATATGTTTTTTCACTAAATGTCTATACCCATTTCAAAAGCAATTTCTTTGATAGAATCCATTTTATTTTCGAAACCATTTTTTCTATACTTTTCAAAAATGAAAGGAGACCTCTTAATTAATTGTTCAATAGCTTCATCAAATTTTGACGGTAAGTTCTTAGTAGCTGCAAATAAAATATCATATCATACCAATAGTCATACCTAACAAAAATTAAATAATTCATAAGTTTTTTAAAAGAAATTTATAATTTATTTACAAATATAGATGACGTAAAAATTACAAAGAAAACTTAGGCAAAAGTAGATGATGTAAAAATGACAAAGGATATGGAAAAAATGTCAAAACTAAACTCTAAAAAAATATTAAACATTACAGAAGAATATAAGAATTGACAATTTAAAAACACAAAGGATAAATTATGCAAAAAAATACCTAGAATAGTGACTGTTTGCAATTTTGTGCTTATTAATACTTATATACTATGCTCACTGTGAAAATAATCAATGTTTATTATCCCTTATACATGTAAACATTGTCTGTTGAACCAAATTTATAGACACTCTGTTGTCCTTTTACTATATAATGTATAAATTAATATTAATAGTTTTTTCTATCAACAATAACTAAAATATAGAATAATTGCACTCACTTCTCACCTAAATTCAAACTCACTTGCCAAAACAAAGTTTAATGTACAAAGGATTACTTTTAATTCCCAGATTATTTTGAAAAAAATCAATTTGTTCTTACAATTATTTTGTATGATATTTCTCGTATTTGTTCCCCAAAATAAATATTACTCTTATTTATCTACATTACTATTTAATATATATATATATATATATATATTCGGTTTTATAAGGATTAGAAGATTCTAAATACTCTATTATATTCTTTTACTAATAAAAAACGTATTATATTTTTTAATGATTGAAGTAAATATGTAATCAACTAGTACTTTTACCGTGCAATGCACGTAATATTTTGCAAGAATTACTAAATAAATTTTGTTTGAGATGATAATTAGAAATAATTTAGTAATTAGAAAATATACATGGTAGTTTTAGCAATTAATCGAATATTATAAGAATAGGAAATAATAAAACTTATTATTTGAAGAGGTTGTGTAAACCGATTTCTTGATAATGTATAAAAGGAATTTATCTTCAATGATCGTATTGGAATTTTTAAAATTCAGGTAAGAATATGAATCAATTACAGTGTCTAATTCAATTTTTAGCAATTAGCAACAATACGTTCATTTTTTTTTTCATTAATCTATATGAAAAACCTTAAATAGGAGATAATTTGCGACAAAAAAAGTTATAAAATAATATGGTATATAGTAAAAATTATAATGACTAAATTATAGCCTATGCTGGAAAAGAAGCTTATAACGGTTAGCTAATAAGCTGCAAAAGCTGATAATTTATAAACGATAAAGTAGGTTATTGGATTAAAAGAATATAGTAAAATTATATAAAAAATGTAAAAAAAAATATATAATTATATGAGTTTTACTATATAAATGAAATTTGTGTTATTTATATTTCATATTATAATTTGAGATTTAAATGTAATAATTAAATTCTCATTAAAAGTTAATATTTATATTTACTTCTTAAAAAATGTAGAGTAGTTTTTTATATGAAAAAATCAATTTATTTAAATGAGTTGACATCATAAGTATTAATTAAATATAAATATTTTAGTTATTAGTTTAAAATAGTATTACATTAATCGCGTCTAATTTTTATATAGTGTCATATAATTAAAATTTATATTTTAATTTACAAAGTTAAATTTTATAAATTTAAATTATATAAAAAAATTAAAAGTGTAAGTGTGTGTGCCTGTGCGTGTGCGTGTGTCTGTCTGTGTGTCTCTGTGTGTGTGTGTTTGTGTCTGTGTGTATGTGTGTGTGTCTGTGTGTGTGTGTGTTTGTGTGTGTGTGTCTGTGTCTGTGTCTGTGTGTCTGTTTGTGTGTCTGTGTCTGTGTGTCTGTGTGTCTGTGTGTTTATATCATTACAAACTACAAAATTATTACATACAATATCATTGTTACTTTCATAAACTATTTTACATTATTGTCAATGACAAATAAAAGATATTAGTCAGAGTTCACACGTTTTTTACTTTTACATTATAAATTAATAGATTTGTCTAATGGTTATATTAGCACACTAATCTCATCTATTATGTGTTTATATTTATTCTACCATGTTGATTGTATGACAAATTTGTTCTACTATATTATCTAATTAGTATAAGTGAAAACTTTCACATTGTTTTACCTTGTCAACATGATAAGCTTGTATAGACTACTAGTTAAGATCATTTGGACTTTGTCACATATATCATCTTATGATTTCAATTTGTATCATCTAGTCTTATATCATTTAATATAATTAATCTACATTCAATCTAACCGAAATTTATTTTTTATTTATATTATATTTCTATTCATATTATTTATTATTTATATTTATTATTATTTATTATTATTTATTTCTATTCATTTTACTACTACTTATTATATTTATATATATTATTTATTGTTACTTATATTTATTATAATTTATTATTTTTTATATTTATATATTTATTATAATTTATTATAAATTATTTTACTATTATTTTATATTTATTGTTATTTATTATGCACTATTTTATTATCAATATTTATTATAGATTCATTTGAAAACGTAACTTTTTAGACATGAAGCATTATTTATTTAGACTTCTCAATTTGAATTATTTATTTAAGACATGAACCTTAACTATTCATTAATAAGTTTCAAAATCAATCATTAAAGGAGTGTAAATCACATTGATCCTAATTAATACCATAAATATAACTCTGAAAAAATGGTAGTTATTTTGTGTCTATATAAGCATGTTTGGCTTCCCTTGAAACACACAACATAAATTTAAGTTGTAGACAAAATTTTGATATATCATAGGGTTGAAAAGAAGTTATGGCAAAGAATGAGATGAAAAATGTTGGTGTTGTTGTTATGATAATGATTATGTTGTGTTTCTCAAAAGCAGCAGCTAAACTTTCATGTCATGCTCAATGTGAAATAAGTTGTCTTGCAACTCTAGTTGTTTATCCAATATGTCTTGGGATTTGTCTTGGAAAGTGTCCACAAAAGTCTAAAGAAGCTTCCGAGTGCATTTCTCGTTGTGGGGTTAACAAATCTATAACCATCAACATTGGTATTCAAACACTTACAACATTTCTCTCATATTTTTCATATTTCAGTTAATATGTTTTTTCACATTTCTAATGATTCATTTTGTATGTCAGATGGTAGCGGTGCTGTGTCTGAAGTGATAGATTCTTGTCTACAGAAGTGTTTAACCATTTAGTATATATTTTTCTTGTTTGAATATTCATGAATAAAGTAATGGTTGTAATGATATTCATCCATGATGTAATAAAGTGAATGGAATTTCAGGATGTGTAATGGTATTCTTGTTTGAATACAATTTTTAAAATTAATACTCATTTGAGTCGTAACAAGGGAAACTTACTAAAAGATTATTGTGGTGAATAATGCCCTATGTCTTATGTACGTGAACAGAAGAAAAATGCATGAAATTAATTTAATGAACAAATAAATAATTTACTCTTCTATTATATTAATTTTCTAAATACAAATATAACATAACACCATTTATATATATACACGTATGAATTGAGATAATTTAAGTTTCTTTTACGATATGTTATTTTATAAATACAAAATCAACTATTTATTAATACAACATACAAAATTATTACATACAATATCATTGTTACTCTCGTCAACTATTTTACATTATTGTCAATGACAGATAAAAGATACTAGTCAGAATTCACACTTTTCTGACTTTACATTATAAATTATAAACTTATTAGAGTAAGACAATATTAATGTTACAAATTATTGCGTAGTTTGTAGCACAAGTACAATGTTCATACTTTACTTTTAATGTTGTGTAACACAACACAGCCTCCATAATTTTTCCCTTTATTAATAAAACATTATAGAAACAACTTATTAATAGAGTTGAAAAGTTCCATCTTGTATAATTAGTGGGTACGGAACATCCGTGGGAAATTGAGCAAAGTTATGAATTGCAGCATTCTCCACAATCTGGAAAACGTAACCATACATTAGAATTAGAATGATTTTTGGGACAAAGTATGACATATTCTTACGTGTTTTTAGGAAAAACGTGTACTTAATAAATAGAAATAAAGTATTACCTTATCATGGAGATATTTATTTGCAGCTTTAAGTGTTCCCTCCTACAATCCACAAAGGTAAAATGTTGATTTTTTTATATATAATATAAAAATGTTAAAGAATTATAACCCAAATAAAAAAGAAAAACAGAACATTCTAACAAAGATGGAACTTCCTCCTATTTAAGGCTTCATAGATCAATTTTTGCTTTGGATTTTTAAATAAATCAGTAAAAAACGTTAGTTTATGTATGAGGTTTGTTGGCATAAATATGGTATAATAGGTAAATTTTGTTAGGATACATACAAAAATAAGATAAAATAAAAAATAAAAATATGTTTATATACATAAAATATTTTCATAGATAAAAAATCTTTTCGAATAATACTAAAAATAAATCCGTAAAAATATAATAATTTAGAACCAACAATATCTTACCATATTTATATTAGTTTTATTTTATAAATAATTGTAAAGTTAAATTAAGTTTAAAATCTATTTTTTAATATTTATAAATTAATTATATACTCAATTTTTGTAAATGTTTGATTATGGTTATTTGTTTAACTAAAGCAAATCCAACCTTAATATTAAGTTTAACTATTGGAATAAACCAAGGTCAAAGCTTTGCAAATTGGACAATAAACAATTCACTAAGAGATTTATACAAGAAGAAAAAAAGTGTATATTTCTTATTATTTATATGAAAACATTTTTGTATAATCTTCTATTTGTGAATTACCACGTAATCTTAAAGTTTATTAAACATTAAGATGGTAAACTTGAAAATATTTACGATTCTTTTTATAAAAATAAAGTAATTAAGTTAAACAATATTATCTTAAAAGAAATTAACATGTCAAAGTTAAGTTTTTTATTAGATTCGTTTAAATCAAACTTAAAGGATTCACCTTTTACAAGTAAAGTTTAAAATTCAAATCTCCCGTTTGGTTGGATTTATTTGCACTCTATAAAAGTATATACCTTACTTTCAATTATCGTATCAATTTGAATTCATTCTCTTTTGTTCTTGTAGATACCTATATTTTTTCTTTATTATTTATTTTTTTAATTTCCCTTAATTTCTCTAATAGTATATTCCAAATTTAGTTCGTGAGTAAACTTTTATTTAAAAGTAAAAGGGTAATGATTAAGTGTGTATAATTTAAATGATCCGTTTATTTAATATTTTAATTTAAACTGTTTTAACACTGTAATACTATAACTTAATTATCTTACATATTTATAACTTGGTCCGGTTAAAATAGGAAAATTCAACTACAATCGAATGTTAATGCAAATTGAAAAGTTAGATCGAAATAAAATTTCATACAACGAATAAATCATTTTTATATAATTGAATGTTAATGCAAAGTATATATAAAAAATATATACTATTTTGTATTATGCTCTTTTTTTTCACACAAAAATCTTATTAACAATGCTAAATATTTATGATTGCAAATCGTTTGTAATAAAATTTGTTAAGTGTATTCCCAATGAAAAGCTATAGTTTAGTATATACTTCTTTTTTTCTATATTTTAATTTCCTTACATGATATATATATAACTTTTGTATTTATATAAGGCAATTTATAATAGCAAGGATACAATTATGACAAGTAAAATATTTAGAAATATAAAAATTGAACCATAAATTTATGCTAACCTTATCTTTCAATGCTTCAATTTCTTGTAACATGATGTTGGTCTGTTGTTCATCACATATGGTATACAAATTAATCATCCATGTATAATATAAATGAGAATTATAGATATTTTAATCATATAAGAAAATATTTTATAGTACCTTCATTGAGCGAATATGATATATCCAAGTTTCCATATTCTTCTCCAACACTTGTAGTTCATCGATTGTTGAGGTCTTGTTTCCACCTCCAAACAAATACCTAACAATTTTTTATAAGCAAACTTATATGAGTATAAGTGTCAACCTTTTTCACTTTAGACTATATGTTATTTTGATTGGGAATAATAATACTTTGACAACATTTTAACATTATCTACGTGTCATTTTGTGATTGGTGAAAAATTACTGAACAATCAATAATAATAATCATAAACACCAACATTGACCAATCATAAAATAACATGTAGATAGTGTTAAAATATTGTCAAAAAAATGTTGTCAAAGTATTATTATCCTTTGATGGGTGTAAAAAGCAACAACCACCATTTAAAAATGCTTATTAGGCTCAAAAAGTTTTTCTCTACATTTTCACATTCCAAAAATAATCTTCCTAAAATGGTTTTAAAATTTGTTGAAGGTTTGAAAAATTCTTCAATAAATTTCGAAATCTATTGAAAAAAAAAGTGAAATATAAAATTTTTTGAAATACAGAAAATAATTTTAAGATTTAAAAAAATATTAAAGTACAGAAAGAAATTTGAGAAGATACAAGAAGAAACACTCAAACTCATCCTCTCCAAAAGAAACTTACACAGTAAAAAAAATTCTAATTTCCTTAATTACATTGTGTACATAATAGTGTAGTACTTTGTTGGAAGATAAAAAATATAATAAAATAAAATAATAGTGTACCTGATACTCTTTTGCAGTGTTTGTATTTCTTGTTTTAGCAAGTAAGATTCCTCTTTTGCATCCTAGTCAACAATTATGTCACTGAGTATGACTTTCAATTAAAATATATAATGGTAAAAAAAAACTATAAACTGTTTATGATTAATAATGACAATATAAAATAGAGGGTTAAATATGTTTTTAGTCCCTAAACTATTGGCCGTTTTTGGTTTTCGTCCCTCTTCCAAAGTAAGGTACAATTTGGTCCCATTCTTTAGAAAAACGTTCGTTTTAGTCCTCAAAATTTTGTTTTTAGTCCTCGTTTTAGTCCTCAAAACGTTCGTTTTTTCGACTAAAACGAACGTAACGACTAAAACGAACGTTTTTTAAAGATTGAGGACCAAATTGTACCTTACTTTGGAAGAAGGACGAAAACCAAAAACGGTCAATAGTTTAGGGACTAAAAACATATTTAACCCTAAAATAGATACACAATTAATGTAAAGTTGCACATAAATACAACATATATACCTCAATTTCAATGTCCTTACTTATATTTTCTTGAGTTGTATTTATTCTACTGAATTCTGTCTTTTACATTTCAATCAAACTAATTTAAAATAAAAATGGATCAGTGTAGAAATTTTATCATTTAAATAAAATATAAAAAAAAGTTAACTTTAACATATAATTTTAAATGAATATGATAATCTCATTTATCTAGTTAGTCTAGATGGGATTTCAATATACATAATGACATTTAACATGAATTTATTTTAAACAAGTTGTTTAAATTATTTCATAAACTAAAAATGTTAAATTAAAATGTAAACGAGTACAAAGACGAAAACAAGTAATATGGGAATAAGACATCTTATCTTTATATCCAATTTGAAAAATTACTGTGTATACTTAGTTAATGAGAAGTTTTTATGTCAAAATTAAGACTTATTAATAAATACGTTTAGAGATGAATTTATTTGTGATCACTAATCATTATCTCGTTTAATTATTTGAACACTTAACTTATTTAAGTATAAATTTTTATTTTTCATCTTTTATTAATAATTTCAAAATTTGGTGTTAAGAAAATGTTTTTCTTTTGTGTACACAATTTTCATAATTAAATAATTCATTTTTAAAGTATTGTAAGCTAAAAAAATATTTATATGTTTGCTTTAAATTAAAATAATTAAAAGGATATTTATTTACAAATTACAAATATAAAAAGGAGTAAAAAGCAAATATAAGAAAACAGAGAAGGGCTATAACTTACTCAAATAATTAAAAAGCAATAATTTTGAATGGGCTTATGCTTACTTTAACCTTAAGCATAGTGATTAATTATTTATAAGGCAGAATTAAATTAAGTTCAATGTGGTGTATGACACTTATACCATTCTAACACGATTTTTTAGCTAGCAAATACTTGAAGAATCTAATCTAACCATGTATGCGACAAAATTAAGTGGACAGAGAACAAAACATTACGTGATTCCTTTGCATATTATAATGACAGAGCATATTTAAGGTTTCATTCTTATCATTGATCAAATTATTTTACGGTTTACGTTAGAGATTAACATTAATCTTGTACATTTACATAGTAATTAACTTCCTAATTTCTAAGACTTTAACTCTTATTTGAATTTTTAAACTTTAAAGTTGATGAAAAGAAAATAAAAATGAAAAGAATATAATTTTACACATAAAATGTTTACATTTATTTCGTATTATTCATTCTTTATGTTTTATTTATTTATTTCTTGAAAAATAGAAATATGTACTTACAAGAGGAAGTGGTTCGGGTGGTGCTTCAGGTTGAGCCCCTCGCGTGAACTTCGTGTACCTCTCGATCAGGCCTTGCATGGTTCTTTGATATATACATGCAGACGAAGGTATAGAAAAGATGAAAATGGAAACAGGGAGATAATATTAATACAGATATGTGAAGAGAGAAAGCAAGAGTTTTAGGGTGGAAAAGAGAGAAAGAAAAAGACCCTTTGGTGGCTAGTTCATAGAGCTTTCCATGGGCGGAGAAAATGAAAAGACCAATTTCAGCATCGCACAGCACAGAGAGCTCCTTAGCCTTCTTAAGAAGCCCAGCTCGACGCTTGCAGAAGGTCACTTGTCTGTGCACTGCGTTCTCAATTCTCTTAAGCTGAACCTTTCCACGAGCCATCTTGATTATTCTTCTTCCTCAGATCTATCGTTTGATGTTTTTCTTTCTGTCTTTTTCTCAGTACAATTTGGTTTTGTTTTGTGCGCTTCTATGCACACAACCTCCCACTAGTTTGAACTAGCTTCGAGGTTGCTGCAGCAGGTACGTAGTACCTTTCTCCGAGTTTCTCTCCTAATTTTGCTTTCAATTTCTGGGATTCAACATCTTATATGACAAACCACCGCATATTATAACATTTCGCCTTCCACGTACCTATGGAATCTGCACCGGTTAGAGTTTTATAATATGTTAAGGACAAGTAATTTATTCTAAGTAAACTTCACCGCCACCTTTACACCACACTAACTTTTTGTTTAGTCTCTAATATCCATCACTTGGAAGTGTATGGATTCCAATTAATTTCATCATAAATCAAATCAAATCAAAGCATGTGATACTAAAGGTGCTTCTGTCCATAGAATATGGTTCATTTTACTAAAATATTCAGGCACAAGCTTTATTCCTGATTTCCTGTGCGCAGAACTCTATATAGATTATAAATATCCTGCACATTATGTTATAAATGCTACTTTGTTCTGCACCAAGCCATTACAAACTGCTTTTTCCATGTTTCAACAATGCATTAAATCAACACTGATGCCTTTACTGGTGGGTCCTATTCTGTGCTAACTCTCACCACCCAAAAGTTACAATTTTTCTCATTGTCATCATCCAAAACTCACATTTCTCACTCTCACCACAACATTCAACATCCAATTTGTTTGAGATAACAAGTGGGGTAGTAAGAGTTCTTTTTTTTCCTCTCAAGTTTCATCATACTTGGTAAGATTCATCCTCAACAGGGGAGAAACGTTATATAATCTTGTAAGAACAGAAAATGTTTGAGATTTGTTACACTACAAGAGTTATCCACATTATCACCCTTGTAAACTGAACTCCTGATTCCAAAGCTGCGAACATTGAAGAAATGGGGGTTGGAATAAAACCTGGAATAGAGTAAAGTGGAAGAAAGTTAATCATAAAATGGTGTTGAGCTAAAGTATTATTAAATCATATCAAATCCAGAAACATATCCCCTGATAGGCTGATATATGTTCTCATGATCATGTTTGCCATGGTGCACTCTGCACTGTACTACAGAACGAGGAATCATATCATATGAATATCAATTTATAGTCAAAATCAAAACTTTCTTGCATTGGGTCCAATCATTCGAGTTAATTTATAATTTGGGATCGATGGCTTAAATTAAATCTGAACAAGGAATACTTAAGAAAGCGGAGTGCTGATGAAACTGAACCTTTTCTTTCTTTTTTCTAAATTCTTGCTCATTGCCATTGCCCATTGCTTCCCGTTTCATAAATATATGCTGATAAGAGATATCATAATAGGACAAAAATGGATAAATAGGAATCTAGGAATTTCAATAATGATGCGCGCTGGATTATGTCAACAATTTTCTTTTTCAAAAGTAAGTTCAAAAGAAAAAATATATAAAATAAGTTTTTTTTTTTAAATTAAAATTAAAATGTTTACTGAATCAATTGGCTCATCCCAAGTGTTATGGCTGCTAGCCACTCATATTGGAACTCAACCTAAAAGTTATCAGTTTTATATATGGTAGATGCCACAGGATTCATTGTTATTTTTCCCAAGGAGGGGCTCTAGTATACCCTACTCCAAAACATAATTTTCACATTCACAACTTCTTGTCAAAGGGAAAGGGACGTATGAAAGCAGAGTTCAATTGCCAAATCTTGAGTGAGGCCTTGATGTTTATGTCTGTTGCGTTGTTGAACACAAACAATCTTGCAGCTTCGTAAATTGCTTTTGTTGGATAAACTCTAGACGATATCACAGTTCTCCCTCCTTGAGCAAAGCTCTCAATGACTGAATGGTCCACCTGAGATCATCATGTTCAAAATTTAAGTGTCATGAACTGGCATAATAATAATGGTATAGCCAACAAAACAATTTTATCCTTAAACTTAAATGTGTAAGCATTGTTTGGATCAGAAACTAAATTTATAGTGGTCAAAATTAAAGCTAAAACACCTAGCTGATGTATGAACATTAAGTGTGTGTGTGTGTGTGTGTGTGTATATATATATATATATATATATATATATATATATATATATATTTGTGTGTGTGTGTGTATCTTATTCACACTTACCAATATCCTCATTGATAATCTTTCATCACTGACGACTGGAACTTCGCTTCCAAAAACGAGTTTTGAAACATCAGGAGCCTTTGAAGACCTACGTTTTCAATAACATTTCATATTCGTAAGATAAGACTTCAAGGTTATGTTTTATCTTCCTTTTAATTCAAGTAAGAAAATGGAAAGTGTCGGACCTGGTTTCATCAACACAGAAGGAAGATGTTAAACTGGTGGTAGTACTAGAAAGATGAAAATAAATTGGTGTTAGCTCAGAAAGTTGGTCATCTGCAATAGCCAGAATGCCAAATGGTCCCAGACTACTTCTGTCAAAAGCTCCATTTCCACACCCTACATTTTCCTTCTTCTCGGTCTCTTTGGATGCTAAATATTCGATTTCAAATTCAGCAAATATGTCCAACTGAAAATTTTCAACAAAATTTGCTTTGGTTAACTACGTATTCACAATTTATTATGCAGAAAAACCAAGTGATTAGCTTAATGGTACTAGAAAACCTGTGTGGCAGGGCCTATGTCCAATGGCAGAACTGAGCCCGGCTTAACCACGACTTCTTCAAATTCATAACTGCTAAGCCTTAAGCTCTCTATTTCTTCCACTGGCCACTGAAGCAAATGAGCTCTAGTTTTATTGTCAAACACCACTGTTCTTGGAATACTCTGATTTCCACAAGAAAAATTGGACGAGATCAAATTCATAACAACCTTCAATAATCAAATCACCACTGTTCTTGCATCTAATTAATTTGGCTACACTAGCAAGTGCAGTAAATTGAAATTAGATTCCTTCAAACAAATTCTCTCATCTCAACTTAAATTGGGGTCCAAATTACCTTAATTTTGATAGCTAAGTACAAAAGATTTCTTAAATACTTTTCCCAAACATGTTCCGGGCAAAAGAAAGGGTGTTGCATACCTGAAGAGATGCCCAACCCTTTTTCAAGTCAGCGGTTTCGCTGTCTGATTCGTTGATCCAACCCCACAAGACCCTTCTCTTTTTGCATTGGTCATAAAACGTCTTTGACGCATAGAATCTCCCATAGTCCAACTTCAACCCGATACCCACATCCTCATCCGGGTTATCGGGCACCCACGTATCATTTTCACTGAAGTACGTCCCAATAGCATAATGATCCCCCCTAGTGTCATCCAAACTAGACTTCAACACATGTTTCACATCTGGCCCATTTGCAGATGTATCCAACCCATCCGACCCATTTACCGAAACCGGGTAAAAGTCCACGCACTCCCACATACCCGTACCCGGGACCTCATGCATGTACTGATCATTGAGTTCGTAGTGGATAAAATCTTGGGTTTTATACACCAACGAAAGACCTGTCTGGTTGACCTTTGACCCAATAGCGATCCTCCATTTGCCATCAGGCCCAATCCACGCAGTAGTTGGGTCACGAAAATCCTTGGGCCCAATTCCCGGTGGAGGCACCAAGAGTGGGTTATTAGAGTACTTGACCCAATGAATGAGAAGCGGATCAGATAGATTGGCGGGGTACGCAAGATTTTGGACTTGCACGTTCTGATGGGTGCTACCAGTGTAGAGCATGACGATTTTGCCATCTGGCAAAAGCGTGGCCGATCCTGACCATACACCGTTGATATCGTACCAGGAATCTCGAAGCATCGCAATGGGAAGATGGAGCCAGTGAATCAAGTCCCTCGATACGGCGTGGCCCCACGTTATGTTTGCAAACAGAGCCGAATCAGGATTGTATTGGTAAAACAAATGGTACCACCCCTTGTAAAACAATGGACCTGTGACAATTCAACGTTAAAAAAATAACATGTTTTACGAGGAAAAACCAGATTCAACGTCTGATTATAATTCAAACGTGGTCGCCATGACAGAGGTTCAGCTAAACTGAAAGCTCACGTCAAACTCTTAAACATGGAAGCATGAAAATATAGAAATAAAAAGATAAATGGGAAGAGCAATTCAGCAAATGAAAAGACCATACCGTTAGGATCTGAAGCAGATACGACCGAACATTAGCACAGCAACCCCAACACGACAAGAAAACATAGGAGAAAAGCAGTTAAATTAATAGTTGAAGGTGAAGTGAATGCAGAAAGGTTTAGTTTAGTTGTAGAATTACCGTTCATCCAGTTCTTCTGAGGTTGAAAATGAAAAGCTGTTCTTTGCCACGATAACATGGCGTTTGTCCAGTTATATGAACCTATCTGCCATAGATATGGATTTGACTTTGCTGAAACACCTTCTGCAATACCTCGAGGCTGTAATGGTAGAGACCTTAAGTTGATCTCGATCGTGAGAGGCTTCTTGATAATACTCAGTAAAGGTTGGATGTTATGGCTATGGAGGCTTATGACAAGTGCAGCCAATGACACGAGAAAAACGATGGAAACAATGAAAATAAGGACACCCTTTTGTGTTCTTCCCTCATTTTTCCTTGTTATGGAACTTGGAGGACTCAGCAATGGAGTTTTTGGATCAGTGTTCATTGTCTTTGCCTTCGTATGATATGTAGCAGAACTGAAATAATCAGAGCAATTGATGAAGCTCGTATATATAGACACAACTGTGAAAAAAACATATACAGTTAAGCTTCTTTAATTCTTATGGATATAGGTTTATATTTCTGCATGTGCATGCCTACTTGAAATGGTTAAACTTAATTCAATCTTATAAACGATTTATATTCATTTATTAAAATTATTTTAGAATTTTCAATTTTCTTCACTCCTTCACAAAATTAAAACTTCAATTTTTTTTCTGTGTTGAATTAAATTCTTTTATAAACTCGATTTGATAAAACAGTAAGATAAGAAAGTTAAAATTATCGTCTTTATAAACTAAAGTTATCTCATGCATAAGTTGCTTTACAAAAGTTATGTCTTTTAAAATTCTTTTAAAAAAATACTTTTTTTTTTTGCTAAAAAGTCTTCCTATATATCCAAATATCTTTAATTGGGATATAAGTGATAAAATTAAGGAACTAAATCCTTACTGAATTCTTGACCTTTCATTTAACAAATGCTGCACGTAACTTCGTGTTGAAATTTTCATTTTCTTGGACGGCTATACTGAAAATTAAAATAATAATATAGTTATGTGTAGGTCATATAAATGGTTGAAAATAGCTCATTAAAAATTAAATGTAAACACTGATGTAGTTTTAGCTTACAAAATTGGCTTACAAACTTTTTTTTCGAATTTTCTGTAATTTTTCTTTTTGGTATCAATGGCAAACGTTAATATATACTATAACTGTTAAAAATAATTATATTAGTGTTGACAACAAAATTAAATCATAAACTAGTTAATTGAATTGGATTTAAATTATAATGCTTTCATAAATCAAAATTCAACTTTCTATTTTTTTTTTCAAATTGTAAATTAAATGGGGGTGGTGAAAGAGATTGCTAGCACGAAGGCCTCAAAGTTTTTTAATTTATTTTTTTAAAACACATATTTAAATTAAAATAATATTATTAATTATCTTTAAAACAAAAATGTTTTGATACATTTTTCTATTTATCAACATGTATCCCTAAAATACTAACAATATACATTAGTGCAATAATTATCTAATGAAAATTAAACTGTTGGTAATTTGAAAGTGGGAACCAATAATACGTTACATTATTAAAATTCATATATGAATTTAACCTTCACATATTATCAATGATGTTTTATTTTGTTGACCATACAAAATTCTTTCGAATAATTATTACAAAAGTTAATAAACATATCACAAAGCATGATCATATACATAAATGACATCATAAGATTAAATTTTACAGTGTAAAAAATCTACTTTATGATTAAACTTATTTTATGATATTACAATTTTCAATATGATATATAATAGTTTTCTACCTTTCTACTGTTCAACTTATACAGCTTGTAATTTTACTGTACAAACAACTGTATATAGGTTAGGTAGTTGCGGCTAAAATCTATGTGTAGTTATATTATTTGGCAGTTACTATTTTCCTCACACGTGAGTTTTTTCTATAAAATTAAAATATTTGTTTTGTCTAAAATTCCAACACTCTATTTTTACAAAAGTCCATTTAAAAATTAAAGTTCTTAAACAAATACGTAACGTATTCACTCTATATCGTTGAAAAAAAGTTGCAAGACGTGATTAGTATACCGTATATATCATACCTTTAGTTAATACTAATTTTGACTGTTTTTGTTAACTACGGTAGTGATGACGTACATTACACAAATACGCTAAGTTGCTACCAATCTCTCTATACGTATTTAATTTTTTATATATTCGAGATATCACACTACATGGTAGAAACCTTTTTGACCAAGGACACGTGTCCTACATACATTTTTTTTTCAATCCATATGTTTCGTGCAAGTCACAATATAAAGTCAAATCATATAATAGGTAGAAGAAAATAATATATGTAACATAGGTCAACGGTCTAAAGTATATTTGAACATAATTTATTTTATTTTGAATACTTAATACTTATATTTTAGTATTTGTTTTGTAGAAAAGAGAAGATTGGAGAAGAATGGAAGATAAAGGGTAATCAGGTAATCCTTGTGATTTAAGAACTTTTCCTCCTAAATTTCTTTACCAATCTCGTGCTTCTGTCTCAAAAATAAAACACTTTTCACCTTTTCCAACTAAATAAAATAGAACCAATAAATACATTGGTAAATATATTTATGTACATGTTCTAGAGATACAAGTATTATTATCCAATGGAATCGAATCTAAAATACAACAACTCAGTAAACTAAAGTACTTAATCCTTTTTATTTGATAGTCAAATGTTGCTATAAAAAATTATCTCCGAACAAATTCACAATCCGAGACCAGCTTATGCATGTCACAGGAAAACCATTTTCGTTTCCTTCAGCCCAACCTTCTTTCACATTTTTTATTTAATTTTTTAGAATTTTGTTTGTTTTAGGCATATATAATTTTAATTAGAATTGGGAATGCAAAAACCCTTTTTTTTTCATTCCCAGTTTTAATTTCCTTCTTTTAAATAGAAAGTGCTAGATTGAAAATAAAAACAAACAAGTATAAGATAAATTATAAATTGAGTTATGAGAAAAAAGACTTAGTGGTTAGCAGCACTGAATGAACCTAAAGTCTTAATGTTTATTGAGCCATGCCTTTTCTAAAGTTTACAACTGTAATTGCTCATTCTTTTTTCGGCATTTCTAGAACACAATTATTACTCACTCTGATTTGGTTACAGACAAGACTCAAGATCCCAAGCATTTTTTTTATCATATAATTTAAATTATTGGACGGCAAAAAGAAGCTATTACCCCTTTTCTTTTTCTTTTCAATGGGCAAAAAGGGTAATAGCAGACATATAATCAAAAAACTACAATAGATATATTACATCCTTTAACAAATGAATGATGTCGCATTTGTAACCCCCATTTTAGTGGTTAGATAGAGTGATCAAAACTGAAGCACCAATGATTAAATATCAATACATTTGGTAATGAGAGGTGGAAAAAAGAAAAAAGAAAAACTCAGCACATTCTTTTAAATCTTGAAGATATTTATAATTGAGGCAGGAATTTACAGCTAGCAGCACAGAAGGTTTGAACAAAACAAGTGGGTAGCGACAGACAGCGCTGTTGGTACCATAAGAGGTCTTTTGTGCGTAAAACTGCTCCAGGAAACCTCTTTGAATGTTTCCGAGAAAACCAAAATCGAAAAAGCTTCTTTTTTTCTTATGATGTACTATATAATAGTATAGCAGAGTATATATATTCTCCTCTATAATCTATATAAGACTTTTTTAGCAGCTTGACTTCCACAACACAAGTGATTTGAGAAATTCCATGACCTGTGTGTACACAGTGATAAGATAAATTTACGTCAGGACCAAATGATACCAACATGCACAACCACAAGCACAACGAATTAGGACAAAGAAATTCAACAAAAAATACAAAAAAGAAGTGAGATTTACCTCTGATGGATCACGAAGAGAGTAAACTGCGTTGCTTTCTTTGGGTGATGAAGACACCAAGATCCCATAACCTTTATTCCCCTCTCTCAAAACCTGTAACAGATTGTTTGGAATCAGTATTAAAGTAATCAAGAGAACAAAATGAAAGAGAAACTGAAAATACAGGAAATAGGAGCAACCGATTTATCACTAAAAGCTAAATACTACCTTGAATGCATCTTCGTCAGTCCGATCATCTCCAATATATATAGGAAGCACATCATCACAATTATTTAGCCCTGAAAAACAATATGACTAATATCACTTACTGCAACACAAAGAACTGTGATCATTAAAGGAAAAAACCATGTCAATAAAAACAGAAAATGAACTCACCAAGTGACTCAAGTAAAAACGTGACAGCTTTTCCCTTATCCCAGTTAATCACAGGTCGGATCTCTAAAACCTGTAAAATAGTAGACAGAAATTGATCTATAAACTACAAATCATCCTTTTCAAAGCATTTAATACTAGATTCTCCAAAATAATGAGTCAAACGGTTGGCTTTGGCCACACAAACAGTACCTTCCGGCCATGAGTTAAGCGCAAACGCGGATAGCCCTTCAGAACATCATGAACACGTTGCCCCACCAAATCCCAATACTGTATCATTAATTCAAAAGAAAAATAATTACAAATATAGAACGGATAATAAGTTTGGAAAAAGGTAAATCATCTTAGCAGAAAATTACTAAGCATAAGAGCAGAAGCTTAAACCTTTTCATCAACATTCCGGTAGTGCACAGATACGCAAAATTTATTGTTCTCTACTTTAGCACCTTTAATGTCTTTCGTACACTCATCAAGAGACTTGAGGACCTGCCCAAGCATGAGTCAATCAGGATGTCAAGTTTTCAATGAAGAAAATATATTGAAAGATGATGATTCATGGTAGATTATCAAAAGCTTACCTCATTAATCATGGGCAGAAATTCAGCAGCGGGTTGGAATAAATTTACTTCCTTACCCTGTAGATTTTAAACAATTCATTTTAATTAAAAAAAAAAACTTTAAGAGATTGGAAAGTGGGAGAAAGATTCATAAAACATGTGACAAACTTCAGTCCCAGTACCTGCTTGTCTGTAAACCTAATGCAATCCGGGTGATTATCAGATTCAGATTGTCTAACAGGGCCAATGATGTCCATCCCGTGACTACCAGCGTAGTAGAGTTCTGTTAGTCCTACAAATTGATATACCTGATCCAACGGGGGTAATACTAAAGTTAGAACCAGCACGACAAGGAAGCTTTCTTAGAGCAGGAGTACATGCAGGCGCAGTGGCGTTGAGATAGATGAGCGAATTTGAAAATAGATAGGAAAATGTTTGTATTTTCTAAAACCTGCTCAATTACCTTGTCACGACTTCTTCCACTAATTATTGCTGTTGGAAAATACTCTGCCACCTTTTTAACAGCAGCTCGCATCTGCAGAGTTTACAGGATCATAATTAGCCAAAGAAGAATGAAAAAATAAGCAAAACAAAAGGATGTTATGGACAGTAAACCCAAGGAGAGTGCCATACATTGTCTGACATGAACGCACAGTCA